GAAGAGGAAACAGACAAAACGATGAGAAAAAACAAAGAGAATATAAGGGTTATTACTGATCTCAAAAGAAGCAATCTCAAAATCACAGGAATTTGAGAAAAAGAAATGGGGAGAGAAGAAAAATAAACTGAAGTAATAACTGGTGGAAATTTCCCCAACCTACAGAGGGAGAGCACTGATCTAAGAGGATCAAAGAGTAATAAAGTGAACCCAAGCAAACAGCACCAAGACATTTTGTCATCAAAATGGCAAGAACCACAGACTCCTGACCAGCTGCAAAGGAAGCAAAAATCTCACGTACAAGGGGAAAAACATTAGATTTCAGTACATTTCACCAATGAATATATATTAATACAGAGGACAAATATATAGGGCTGGAGTGACAGTAGGGCATTTGCCTTACACGTGGTTGACCCAGGTTCGATCACCAGCATCCCATAGGGTCCCCCGTGCACCGCCCAGTAGTAATTCCTGAATGCAGAGCCACGAGTAACCCCTGTGTGACCCAAAAAGCCAAAAGAACCTCCAACCAAGAATCCTCTACCCAGCAAGACTGTCACTCAGAGTGAAAGAAGGTACAAATATTCTCAGATGAATAGTAGCTGAGGGAATAACTGAAGTCTAACCCAGCTCTGTCAAGACCATTATACAAAGGAAACAGCACAAGTTGCCAAACTCTGCATACCGACATGGCAATAAACCTTTCTCATTGCTAACTTTATTGATAACTTTTTCAATAGACTAAACTCTCCTGAGATACAATAGAGTAGCAGAATGAATGAGAAAACAAAACATAACCTTACTTCGTTGCTTACAGAAGATATGCTTAAACTCCCATGATAAACAAAGGCTCAGAGTGAATGGCTAGAAAACAATCATACAGGCTAATTGCAGATAGCTTGAGAAATTAGAAAAAGAATGGCAAATTAATCCCAGAGGAAGTAGAGGAAGGAGATAATAAAAATTACAGTGGATATCAATGATATAGGAAATAAGAAAATACAAAGGGTCAATGAGACCCAGAGCTGGTTCTTCAAAAGAATAAAAAAGAATGACAAACCTTTAACTAGCCTCATAAAGAAAAAAGACAGAAAACACATAGATGAGAGGGGAGGAATTACAACAGACACCTCGGAAATAAAAAAGATCATGGAGGTTACTATAAGCAATTCTATGCTACCCAGTTTGAGAGCCTAACAGAAATGAATTAATTCAAACTCATACAAACTTCCAAGAGTCATACAATTGAATCAGGAGAAAATAGAAAACCTGAACCCACCAAAGACTGATCATGAGTAAGGAAAAAGGAAACTGAAATAGTGATTAAAGATCTCAAGAACAGAAGTCCTGGACCAGATGGGTTCACCAGTGGTTTTATCAAAGCTTCAATTGTGTCCAAACTTCTTTTAAGTGTCCATAATCCTCATGCTCTTCTAAAATACCAAGAAATAGGAATAATCCCTACTAGATTCTATGGTCCACATGGCAGAGGCTAGCAAGCTACCGTGGCATATTCGATATGCCAAAAAAAGTAACAAGTTTCACAATGGAGACATTACTGCTGACCGCTCGAGCAAATCAATGAACAATGGGACGACAGTGCTATAGTGCTACAGATTCTAGAAAGCCAATAACACCCTAATACCCAAAGCAGACAGTATATATTGTTTTGGGGCCATACCTGGCAGTGCTCTGGAGTTACTCCTGGCTCTGCATTCAGGAATCACCCTGATTGTACTTTGGAGATCATATGGGATGCTGGGATTGAACTCGGGTTGGCCGTGTGCAAGATAAACACCCTTTTACTACTGTTCTGCCTCCAGACAGCTATATTAGTAAAAAATGAAATTACCAGCCAATATCCCTAATGAATATCGATTCAAAGATCCTCAACAAAATCACATCAAACTGAATCCAACAATTTATCAAAAGGATTATATACCATGATCATTTGGATTTCATCCCAGAGATGCAAAGGCTGGTCAATCTATGCAAATCAATTAATGTAAAACATCATTATCAACAAAACTCAGAAGGCTTTTGACACCATCTAATTTTCATTCGTGGTAAGATCCCTCAAAAAAATATATGGATATGGGGCTGGAGCAATAGCACAGCAGGTAGGGCGTTTGCCTTGCACGCGGCCGACCCGGGTTCCATTCCCAGCATCCCATATGGTCCCCTGAGCACCGCCAGGGCTAATTCCTGAGTGCAGAGCCAGGAGTAACCCCTGTGCATTGATGGGTGTGACCTAAAAAGCAAAAAAAAAAAAATATATATATATATGGAAAGAAGGATCATATTTCAAGACAGCCAATATCACACTCAATGGTGAAAAACTGAAACCCTTCTACTAAGATCATCCCTGAGGCAAGGATATCCACTTTCACCACTCTTATTTTATGTAGTTCTGGAAGTCTTTGCTACAGCAATCAGATAAAAATATCTAAGGGATTCAAATAGAAAGCAGTTGTTAAACTATCACTATTTCCAAATGGCATAATATACACTGGAAACCCTAAAGACTCAACTGAAAGAAACAGTAAACCAACAAGACAAGATAGCAGGATACAAAACACATAAACATCTGCAGTATTTCTGTATGCAAACAATGAACTAGCAGAAATAAATTAAAAAGCAATCATTTTCAAAGAAGTGTCTCAAAACATCAAATATCTAGTAACCAACAGAGGAGGTGAAAGACTTATATGGTGAAAACTATAAAAGACTACTCAAAGAAACAGAAAATGAAACCAGGAAATGGAAAAATATTCCATGTTCAAGGATTGGAAGACCAGGTTGTCAAAATGCCCTTCCAACCCACTGTGCAGACTGAATGCAACTCCTATTAAATTCCAGTGACATACTCTAGTGTACCAAGCTTGGACCATGTGAGGTAAGGGGGCTGAACCCAGGTTGGCCCTGTGCAAGGCAAGTGCATTATGTTGTACCATACTACCTTTTCAGGGCCCCAAAACACTTTTTTAAAACTTTTTAAGTACATCTTATTTCTCCTTTGATGCTTCATGCATACTCACTTGTTACTAGCATATTTTCCATTCCATTATTAAATGTGATATCAGCCCCGGGTCCCACACACCTGGGTTCCTCTGCCAGTTCCTTCATGTAAGAAGTCCCCCTCCAAGGGACTTCTTATAGTCTAGTTCTCGCTCTCAGAGAACCCGACAGGCTACCGAGAGTATCCTGCCCGCATGGTAGTCTGGCAAGCTCCCCGTGACATATTCAATATGCCGAAACCCATTCTTAAGCATGGCTGTGTCTGGTTCCAGAGATCTTCAGCTGCTGGGGCTCTGTTTGGGACGGGGAGGGAAACTCAACCCACGCCCCCTCCAAGGGGCCCCAGTGAGGAGAGCCAGGCACAGGGGCAGGAGACTCTGTGTTATTCTCTTCTGGGAGCTTGGTTTTACAGTCTCTAGGTCTTGGTCATTGACGGGATTACTCGGCGCCAGGGGCAGTTGGTGGGTGTAACGCCTAGCTACTGGAAGATGGGGGATCTGGGTGGAGGAGGCCCAGTCCCGATCCGAGCAGGCTTGAAGATCTCAGCCCCGGGTCCTGCACACCTGGGTTCCTCTGCCAAATCCTTCATGCGTGAGGCTCGTCCGAGCGTGTGGAGAGTGGGCGTAAGCATGGCTGTGTCTGGTTCCAGAGCCCTTCAGCTGCTGGGGCTCTGCTTGGGGTGGAGAAGGAAACTCAATCCGCCCCCCTCCAAGAGACTTATAGTCTAGTTCTCGATCTCGGAGAACCCAGCAGGCTACCAAGAGTATCCTGCCCACATGGCAGAGTCTGGCAAGCTCCCCGTGGCATATTCAATACGCCAAAACCCAGTACCAATGATGGGTCTCATTTCCCTAACCCTGAAAGAGCCTCCAATGTGGCACTTGCTAAAATCTCAGGGCTAGGACAAATGGAGACGTTACTGGTGCCAGCTCGAGGAGATCGATGAACAACAGAATGACAGTGATAGTGATATTAAATGTGATCAAAATAAGTGTCTGATATTTTGTTCAACATTCGGCTTAAATCAGGATTGCTCTTTCTTGATGTTCTTTTGACGAATGGGTCATGTTGTCCTAATTCCTCTTTTGTTAAATAATCTTGTACTGGGTTCCATTAAGTATTACATATTTTATTCTGCATAAGTCTCTGGATCCTATTTTATTCCTTGGTAAAATGTTGCTCTTTATTTGTTTCGGTTTGGAGCTGGATGGGCTGACACAGAACACTGTCCTGTAGAGAGCAGTTGTCATTTCTGTTCAGTTCTCAACCCTGCATTAGAACACTCTGATTCTCAACCTCTGCTTTTGTGATTTAGGGGTCCCGTGAGATCTGGGCATAGTTCAGACATAGTATTTGCTATGAGCTTCTTGGGACCACTGAGTCCTAGCTGCCTACTGAAGCACTAGCTTAAATTTCCAGTGGCTCCAGCCATCCAAACTCTTTCGATCTTCAACAGCAGGATTTGGTTGTCAGGTTTTCCACTGGAGTTTGAGACACTCCATGTGCTGAATGCGTCCTGACCCCAGGCCAGAAACTGAAATGGAAAACTCACCCTGTCCCACTTTCTCTTTTAAGTCTTGAATTCCTTCCAAAATCTGCCTGCATTTCTGTACACTCCAATGACATCAAATAATTGGAGCTGTTAGTTTTATTTTTTGTTTATATTCTGCGCAATTTATAGTTATTCTATTAGAATGGTAATAAAATATAAACTTATTTGACCACAAAAGTGGCGCTCAAACACAAGTCCCTTATGACAACATATATGGAACATAGAAGTCGACTCCTATCTCCCTCAAATATTACATCCTGTTCCATTCTTCCATATGCTCACAACTCACAACCATGCTGATCTCCGATGAAAGCATTCCAAACTTGTTCACCTTTAGGATCTTTTATTTTTTATTTTTCCTGAGATTTTGATCCTAAATCTTCACTTACATAGTTGTTGATTTTCATAAACAATCGTATTTATTTTCTTTTTAAATTTGGAACGCTTCATGAATGTGTCATCCTTGCTCAGGGGCCATGCTAATCTTCTCTGTATCGTTTCAATTTTATATGTGTGCTGCTGAAGCGATCACTCATTTTTATTTTAAAAAAAGAAAACAGTATTTTAAAATTTTACAATTAAATAAGCTCTAAGAATTTTAAGAGGTACTTAATCACTTAATCACTTAACTTCCCGTTAGTCGGCGATTTGCTCGAGCGGGCGCCAGTAACGTCTCCATTTGTCCCTGTCGCATGCTAGTGTAGCCCAATGGCATCTCTTCGCTCCGGGAACATGGAGGGCCTCAAACCGATCGTTCATGATCTTGACAAAGAAGTCTGACCATCTGGTAGGTGGGCGGCCACGCGGTCTCTTGACATCCCGTGGAATCCAATCAGTAACAGCTCTAGTCCAATGGTCGTCTTTAAATCTCATTACGTGACCAGCCCATCTGATTTTCGACACCTTGGCAAATGAGACAGCGTCCCTGATCCTTGATCGTCGACGGATGTCAGAACTCCGGATTCGTTCTCTCATTTGAGTGAAACGTGATATTCCAAGCATAGCTCTTTCTATTCTTCTTTGGGAGACCTGAATAGCATTCTCAAGAGGTACTATGGTGCTTACAAAACTAAGGAAAAAGGGGGAACTCTGGTGAAGGGTGAGCTGTTGGAGAGTTGTATGTATAAAACCCTACCATTAACATATTTTAAATCACACTGTCTGAAAGTAAAGAAGTGTTCTTTTAAAAGTTCTAAACTAACTAAAGTTTGGAAAATATACTCCTTTAAGTTCAGCAAATCCCAATTCTATTGGTCAAATTTCTAGACGTGAAGGCAGAACAAGTCTAACACATTTTACAGACTTTCCAATTCACACTTAAGAGAATTTTTATTGTTTTGTTTTCTTTGGGGAACCTTCCTTGCAAGAGGCCAACCTGGTCGATCCCCTGCCCTAGCTCAGAGCCAGGAGTAAGTCCAGAACACAGCTGGGGGTGGCCCCCAAACAAAAACAAACCAAAAAAGAGGCCAGAAGGGAAAGAAATGCCCCAGGCATTAAATTTAGATGACAAAAGAGATGAGAGAATACAAAAAATGTTCAAGAACTGAAAAAATTTAGCATACAGAGATACAGGGGAAAACAAACAGCAGGCTGCAAAAATAAACAGGAGTCCTAATGAAACGCTTCCTCGGCCACACTAAGAACTGTAGGATTTATTCCAACAGGAATGATAACCAGATTGAGGTTTTAGAAACAGTCACCATCTGAAATCCAAGAATAAGCTAGAGGTGTTAAAACTAGAGGCAGAGCAATGGGCTAAGATAAGCATTTCGTGAACACTTGAGACGATGGTGGCCTGACTGACAAGCACTCCGAGAGAGGAGAGAAAAGAGGGAGGAGGACTTGGTAATGAACTGGATTTGGTAAGGAACTCAGGGAACGGTGAAGTCAAGGATTAATGAGCAGATCATTCCAAATAAGCATGGGTCCCGGCTCCGGAGCAATGGTACACAGAGTAAAAGCACTTGCCCTGAACACGGATGACCCAGGTTCAATCCCTGGCACCTCTTATGGTCCCCCAAGCACCACCAGGAGTGATCCCTGAGCAGAGTCAGAAGAAAGCCCTGAGCACTTCTGGGTGGTGTGGTCCAAATACAAACATACAGAAAGGAAAAAAAAAGCACCGATCTTGGATCTCATCAACAACTTCTACACGATACCAAGGCACTCAAGGCACTAAAGTTTAAATATTTTGTATTTAGTGGCAGAAAATGAAGAAAACAATTTACACTAAGAGGAGGAAAGCCTTTTGTTTCACGATGATAAAGCCTGGCCCAAGCCGTAATGTTTTTTTTTTTTAAGCCGCCGGTGCAGCAAACCACCGCAGATAAACAAGACTAAGGGAAACAAGGAAGAATGCCAAAGTCCAAATCATGCCCCAGCACTAATTCAAAACTGGATTATTTCAGAATGCTGAACATTCTGCTCGCCTAGTGCTGACTAACTTTTCTCCACATTGTGCTATTTCTACACCAGAATGAGAATGTGAGCTGGTCCTGGCAGAGAAACAGCACCCGACCTTCAAGCCTGGAAACTCTTCCGAGGTGGGAGAGGCGGAGTGGGGATTAACAGACTGTTTCTTTAAACAGACTATTTTCCACAACTTGCCCCAGATTTTAAATGCTGGAATGATGGTCATCTATAAAAGGTTTAGCAAGTAAATGCTGACCCAGCTGTTTATATTAGTAAATGTTAAATTAGTTGGCAAATCACTTCAAATATCATAAAAGCAAGCCCCATAGAAACTTCAAATATATCTGTGTTTACGAGCTAGAGTAATAAATAGTACAGTGAGCAGGGCATCTGCCTTGCAGTCAACCCAGGTTCAATCCCCAAGCACATGGCTGGGAGCAAGCTCTGGGCACTGCTGGGCATGGCTCCAAAATAAAAAATACATATATATGTGTGTGCATTTATATTATGCATATCAGCAAATACTGAAGTCATGCAAAAAAAAAAAGGATAAAAAGAATGTTAATATAGGAATCAATGCGATCACTTCAACTTTGGAATAATTCCAATCTACAAATTTCTTCAATGTACATCAAGTTTTTAATTATCAATCTATTCCAAAGATTAGAGGGGTTGATATTCATCTAGAATTTATACATTTATATATATTAAAATGAAATTAACAAGCTTCCAAATGTACATTATACAGGCTAAAGCCAAGTAGTTGGAAAATCCCAGGGCGCAAAACTCAAAACCGTCCATCTTTACCTGCAGCTCCTTTGAGACTCTCTGTAAGTGACTGGTTATCTTTTTAATCAGATCACTATACATCTGTTCCGAGTGCTGCTGGCATACACATTTATACACACAACTGCGGAAAATGACAACAAAAAAACTAAGTTAACGATGAAGTGCTTCGTTCAGCCTAAAGTGAAAGCATACTTTTGATAAATCACACTGATAATTTAAGCCAAAACTAAATGATCAATCACAATCTAGTCACTCGGGTCTAGTCACAACTTCTAAACAAAAACGTAAGCTGCCTCGATACTCAGGTACGAGAGATATTCCTACAGCTGCAAATAATCTCTCCACACAGTCTAGCACACATTTTATTGATAGTCAACAACGCAAAAATGGGTGATAATCCGAGTCTAGAAACTAGCTTACAGATCAGCTTCTTTCTCATGCTTTCATTTTAACTAATGACAAAATAGGGGAGAGACTGACAGCACAAAATTTCTGAAAGTTTACGACAGAACATCTGTGTGACCACCTGTGTGGAAAAACCCAACAGCCACTGGCTTCTCTTGTCACTGGGCTGAACTCACAGGCCATTCCAGTCCTTCTCTGCTGCTTACAGTGACCAGGAGCTGGGAAAAAATACCCACAAGCCCCCTTGGCGGAGGACGTAGTTTAGTGGTAGAGCACGTGCTTCTCAAGAACTAAGCTCAACGATACCACCAAAATACACGACGAAACAAACACCACCAACAGGTTAAGCTAGGAACTCAACTCAAAGACAAAATAATTACTACTGCAGCAGCATCATCAGCTCGTTCTTGCCTCTTACACGTCTCCACAATTTCTATTTTATGTCCAGTGGGACTGTAGGCTGGGTGGAAGAGGGGCTTAGCAAGGGGGATTAACTCTATCTTGATATGAAAACCAATTCTAAAGCAAAAAAAGGATAAAACAAACCCCTAATCATACAAATAGTTTATATTTTCATGTTATATGCATACTTCCTATCATAATTTAAGTTTCCATGAACCTCAATATATTCTCTAAAACCCAGGGAAGTTAAATCTCGACTTACCTGTATATCTGTTCATAGGATATGGGGATATAGTCACCAGGACTCTGGGTTAAAAGCTGATCTATGGCACCATCCAATTTTGGCCAGTATGTGCTCTTATAATCTTCAATAGTTATAACATTCATCACTGAAAGTAAAAAAATTAAAACGATCATTACTATATGTCACATGGAAACACAAATCAACAATTTTTTACTCTGATTTATTCCTTTGCTATGATTTTTTTTTCATTGATACTCTTACCTAAACATAACTCTATTATCCAATTTCCAATTCTGGAAGGCTTTTGTTTTGTTTTTGAGGGTGTGCTCAGGGCTTAGCCCTGGCTCTGTCACCCCTAGCAGGGTCAGGGAATCATGTGAGATGCCGGAGATCAAACCTAGGTCAGTCACATGCAAGGCAAACACCCTACCGGCTATACTATGGCTCTGGCCCCCAATTTCCAATTTTTTTTTAAGGCTCAGATATTTTAATTAGTTATTATGATTTCAAAAGTTAGTGGGGCTGGGGTGCTAAGTCAAAGGGGTACAGCATATTCCTCAATGAGGTCACAAGTCCAATACCTCACACCACATTGCCCCTTCCTAATCCCCACCCCTCCTTCATGACTCCTGACTTCATGGACTAAGAGTGGCCCAGGACCCCCAAGCAACACTGGGGGTGCCCCCAAAAGGAGATCACTCTGATCCTGTCCATCTCGAATAAGCAAACGAAAGAATCAAGGACCAGTGGGTTCCCTTCCTGGTTCCAGGAAGTTCCTATTATTAGTAGAGTGCTCTCAAAACAGACAGCGACGGTCAAAAATGGACTGTCAAGGACATGATAAAATGACCACAGTAAGATTCTGAGAAACTCGGAGTCCTGAAAATCAACCTTTGCAGGCACTAATGGGAAAATCAGTGTAAGATAAGGACTGAGGAGACTCGAACCCAAAAGCTGGCGTGAAGAGGAGGTTGCTGGACGCAGGACCACAGCCAGGACACTCCCACTCCCCACCTTCCACACATGGGTGAAGTGGAGTCTTCATCCCCAGACTTGCCCCCCGCCCCGACCGAGAAAGCATTGATGGATGACACCAGGTTCCACAGCCTTGAACCCGGGTCGCCAACTGCGTCACAACAACCAAGTGCTAACATTACAAAGAAGTACCCAGAGCACCCCAAAAAAGATACGCAAGTCTTAGGAACAATCCCACGGCAGGAAACAGGACCTAGCAGGTCCAGGGACCCTGCACTCCCGAGCTAAGGCCCCAGCGCGCTCTCCCGAGCAAACTCCTGGCACCACCACCAGCCCCCGGCAATGCCACAGCTAGCTGTGTGCAAGCACCACAGCGAACAAATGAGCACTGCGGCCGTGACGCAATCCCCAGCAAGCACGTGTGGGAAAACAACCAGCCCCAGGGAGCACGGCCACCAGAAGATGCACAGCGCCGTGTAGTGACCCCCCAGCACACGTTCCAGCTTATAACCCAAGTCTCCAGTGGCCAGGAGCCACCGAGGCCCGAGCAGGCTCCAGTCACCGCGACAGCACGAGGGGAAGAGGAAGGAAGGGGAAATACGCTTTAATTTAGCTAAGGTAAGGTAAAGGTAAAGGCCCTTCCGTTGATCGTCGATTTGCTCGAGCGGGCCCAGTAACATCTCCATTGGAGACTTTGTTGTTACTATGTTTGGCATATCGAGTACGTCACGGGGAGCTTGCCAGGCTCTGCCGTGCGGGCGAGATACTCTCGGTAGCTTGCCAGGCTCTCCGAGAGGGGCGGAGGAATCGAACTCGGGTTGGCCATGTTGGCCGCTTGTAAGGCGAACGCCCTACCGCTGTGCTATCGCTCCATGATAACTTGAAAAATAAAGAAGGACACTACGGACTCACGTGAAGCAATATTAACCCCATTTTGCTAAGTGAAAAAATCAATGTGAAAGGTTAAGTGTCTCACATGACATCGACACGGGCGAAAATACGGGGGCAAGACCAGATCACTGGGGCTGGATGGGCAGGGCTGTGTGTGTAACCGGCAGGGGAGCACTTTGTCTGTTCACTTAGAGCAGATTTCCAGCAAAGCGGGGAGGGGTTGAGTAATATTTTTCTGAAAAGGCGGGTGATAGGCCGAATAATCTGGAAACCCCTGAGCTAAAAGGATGAAGAAGTGTCCAGCAGCAGAACAGGAGAATTTTAGGATAATGAACTCTCTCTTATGGAACTGGAATCTTGGATATACCACTCGGGGCTTTTGCCAAAAGAAAGGAAACTGCAAACCACCGAGAGTCAACACACTGTGTTTCAAAAGCCTTGCTTTGCTTTTAAGGGAAGCTGGTTTTTTAGGCCACAACCAACAGTGCTCCTGGGCTACTCCCGGCTCCGTGCTCAGTGAGGGGTGGGGGAGGGCATCTTGCATGGTGGTGCTTGGAGCATCACGTGGAGCAGGGATGGAACCTGTGCCTCCTACGTGGAAAACAAGCACTCAGCGCTCTGAGTTATCTCTCTGATCCCGAAAAGTTTTTTAAAAATCTGGAATGCAGTGGCAAAGAAAGAACACAGTCTAAGTCTATGACCGGTGACTCTAGTGCACAAATGAATCACACAGCAGGGGAAGGACAAGGACACGGAAGGCTAAGAACCAAACAAGAGAACTTTTATATGTGCTTATACATGTCCACACGCACAAAGACACACACACATGGCCGGAGTCCCAAAGGGCAGATGCGCTATTGTAAAAGCTCGGCTTCTACTCTGAGGGCATCTAGACCGCAATCAGCAGAGAAGTGATATAAGCTAGGAAGGACATAATCAAGTGTCTTGCCTCATTCTAGCAGCTGAGAGTAAACCAACAGGAGGCTGTGAGCCGATGGGGCCGGGTGAGGGGCAGCAAAGACCACCGCAGATTCTGAGTATGCCTCGCAGGGAGCGCCAGCAGGATGTGTTGACAGGCTGCCAGGCATTAAAGGGGTCTCCGTGATGGCACAGTTTCGGGCCTGAGCACCAAAGGATGCAGTTACCATTTTACAACGAAGAGGAAAATGCCAGAACGCTTCCATTTGCTGTGTAATAGACATCATTGGGGCCACACCCATTGATTCGGTTCACACAATCAACGGGTGGGGCTACTGTCTACACCTACAGGTGTAGGCTACTGTCTACACCTACTGTTGCTTGCTTAAGGATTTTCTCTGGGATTCTGAGTTGCTTTTCCTGAAGGCGGTGCTGTGGAGGTGATGGTGAAGGTGAACCCAACAGCAGTTCCCCAGGGTCACCCTCGCTCTGAAGGTCTGGCTTCCTGGGCCCAGAGCCCCTCTGTGACCCCAGCTTCATCTCACAGACCACTGCCCGCAGAGGCCCATGGCCTCATCCCCCTGCACTAAGAAGACTTGGCAAAGACTGACGATTTGTTTAAGGCATCCATCAAAAGCAGAAACGCAGTGTCACAAGCCATTAAACAGAAAGCAATACAGAAATAAATGCAACGTTATTAAATTCGAGCTCGATCCTCCTGCCAGAATGAGACTGGCAGGAACTGAAAGTGAAACACACAAAGCCTGAAATGCCACCTTCCTGCTTTCAGAAGGCTTAAAATAAATGAAGTATATCTTTAAAAAAGAAAAGACCTGGATTTCAAGAAGTGATTCTAGGTTACTGAAACCCCTTATCATTAACACTAAACTACATCACAAGCCTTCTCGACACCACGTTCAGAAAAAAAAAAAAAACACAAAAAACACAAAAACCTTCCAAAAACAGGCAAGAACTAAGGGGCCTGACCAACGGGCTACTGAACTTCTTAGCTGAGACACCACACCCTTGAGCTGCATCTGGAAGCACTCCTGCCACCGTAGCAAACCAGCAGCTCAGACAAGAGGGTAAGAAGCCAAGATCCCCGAGTTCAGCGGCAGAGACAACAGGAGCATCCCCTGGGTGAGGACTCTCAGCCCTCTTTCCCACGGAGTTCTTGTTTTTCATCCTCCCCTCCCCCGTGCTCTTCTTTTAAATATCTTTGAAAAGAGACTGTAAAATGGAAAAGGTGTGCAAATGTTCACTGGAAAATAGACAATTCACCGCTAGTATTTTTTACATTTTTTTGTTTGTTTTTTGGGTCACACCCAGTGTTGCACAGGGGTTACTCCTGGCTCTGCGCTCAGGAATTACTCCTGGCAGTGTTCGGGGGACCATACGGGATGCTGGGAATCGAACCCGGGTTGGCTGCGTGCAAGGCAAACACCCTACCCGCTTGTGCTATCACTCCAGCCCCTACATTTATTTTTATTATAGTTTCAGTATCCCGCCCGCACGGCAGAGCCTGGCAAGCTCCCCGTGGTTTATTCGATACGCCAAAAACAGTAATGACAAGGCTCACAATGGAGACGTTACTGGTGCCCGCTCGAGCGAATTGATGAACAGCGGGAGGACAGTGCTACAGTGCTCTAGTTTCAGTTAACACGGCTGCACAGTGCTAAAGCTTATGCCTCTAGCATACACATACCCACACCTTCACCTTCACCTTCACTTTCCCGGAAATGCCCTGAATTCCCTCCAGCGTCCCAGAGACACTCCTCCTCCACCTTTCTCCTCGGTGGCGTATTAGCCACGGTTTTATGGGCTCAGTCATCACTCGGTGTCGTCTATTCCTGTTCGCTTTCTCCGTCCACCACAGGTGAGTCAGATGACCCGGTATCAGTCCTCTGCCTTCTGACTTCTCCCACTTAACACGCGTCCTTCCAGGGCCATTCAGGATTTCACCTTAGAGCTGCCCAATATCCCATCAGGTATATACACACCACAACTCCTTTTATTCGCCACTGGACACTTCCATATCCTGGTTGCCTCTGTATCCTGGCCTAGTTTTCTCGGCACTGCAATGAAATAGATGTGCACACATATTTTTGAGCTAGTGTATTTTTGTTGCTGGGGTGTATGCCAAGACGTGAAATAACAGATCACCTGTTTTCCATCATTCTATTTCCACTTCTGTGAGACGTCGCCTTTCAGTTTCCCAGGAGGCTCAACCAGACAAATCTCACCAACAGCAGAGGGGGTTCCACGCACCGCATCTGTTGTTTACAGTCTCTGACAGACGCCATTCTCACTGCTGGAAAATACTGTCTCACTGTCATTTTGATTTGTATTTCCCTGATAAGA